CTGTTTTCACTAATTCTGAATTGGGAGATACGTCCCTTCTTTCCTCTGAAAGTATTCCAAGCGGTCTTTCGCCACTGAACCCCGCAGGCCTACCGTCCAAGTTTATATCCCACTCGATTTCAGTAGCGTTTGTTACGTTAAAATAACCAGGTTCGCTTCGTTTTTTGTAAACAAAACGCTGGTTTTATTTACCGCCCACGTTTTCCACTTCATCTGAATAAATCTGAGCTGTTACTAATCCGCAATCACGGCATGCGAATTTATATTCTCTTATTATTTTGTTGTCGTGTGGACATGTGTTTTTTGGTAGCGGCAGCCTATTAACATTTATACCAGTTAATTCATAAATCTCTTGGTCTGTCATGGTTTTTATTAATAGTGACGTAAAAAAACCTCAGTTATTCCTAGGACTAACTGAGGTTAAATTAATTCGTAAGTTAATTATTCAAATTTAATCCACCTTCAATTTCAAGGGGGATTCAGATTTAGATCCAGATTTAAATTCAGAACGTCCAAATCTGCTAAATGCTTGCAATGCCGACTTATTTGAAATTAGTTTCTAATTTTCAACATAGCCGCCGACACTTTATACCTAACACTGGCGCCGCAAGAAAGCAAACCGTGAGTTCCGTAATAGACATCTTTTGGGCAGATAAATGATTCCGCGTTACATCTCTTATTGATAAATTTCTCGATATTTGTCGAGTCAATGGGCCGCTTTCGGTGATCAAATAGGGAAGCAAAGGGGTCCACTTTAACGTACATTCGATGCTTGTCCGGTAAGGCTGTTTAACGACGTATTCTATTTTATTAAGGTCATCAATATTGTAACCTCTTAAACTACACAAAAAACGCAAGTGTGAACACACTGATGAAAAACTTGGCCCGTGGAAACAGCTCTCTCCAGAACTTGAACTTGAACTGTTTATTCGCTTCCCTTAATGATTGCAGCCCATTCCAAGTCCCAAGTCAGCGGTTCGCTACAATCGACAGAGAAAATAGAAGTAAACCTTATGTAGCAATACATGTACATAAACCTTAGTCAAAATCCATTATGATGAAATAAAGAAACGGTTGAGTACACAATCCTATGAATAAATTTACCCTTACTATGTGCCCCCATAAACTCTTACTGTGTAAATGCCAAATGACGAGCAGTAGGGTAATCCATGAACCCAGTAATAACGGCCCTTCATAATTTACAAGCGTTACAACGTCCCATTATTCCAGCCAAATTAACCCTTATTCCCCAGATGACCCTTAAGCTCATTTTAATATCCCTTTATGACACATAATATGGGAGAATTCCTTTGTCTTACCAACTGTTGCATTCCTGGGGGTTTACTTAATGAAAGGAAAGATGTCGCTCATGTACGTAGCCGATCATCGAGTGGAAGAAGCGAACGGTGCATTTCACTAATCACCCGAAAGAGGGCGCTATAACAGTTTTACGACTGGCTTTGCAGGCATTTATGGTATTAGACGGGAGATTAGACCCAGTGTCAGCTTGAGATTCGATAAACAGGTCAACAGCTAAATTTATGTGATCGAATATGCCCGCGGTAGGTTGTGGTATTTGATAGCAAATCTGTCGCCCTACTAAATTTTCCGGCGTTTTATCTCGCGTGCCGTATTTATAAAGGGGGTTTTATGCCGTAACAGGGTTCGATCGTCATAATCAATAGGCGTTTATTTTGGCCGTTGTGTTGGTAAAAAATAGGTGAGCTGCAATGTTGGCCATCTTTAATCACGGATTTTAAATGATTAAATTATTCGGATCAAAGGGCCCATAAGCGACGTTGGGATCGCAGTTGTCGGCATTCAGGCGCTCGTGGTCATCTGAAACGATATATACTTGGGTTGACATGGTTCTGATTTTTCTGGCTTTGCCAGAAATTTTTTTTTTTCATTTTTATTTGGCCGCGTCTATTAACTCGGGTGGGATTTCTACTTTAATTAAATTTTCAACATTCACGTCGTATTCAATTATTAACCCAATTTCGTATAAATCAGAGTCGACTTTTGTCGCTGAATCAGGCATTGAATCGTTTTCTCGCGCGTGCCGCAGCTTTTCATGCTTGCCGTTTACGAGCACTGAGTGCTCCATTCCTTCCCACTCGCTACAATTTATGCAGCAGTTGCAAGCGGTGAAACCAAAACACTCTATACAATTGCTGCACTCGTAACAGTCTTCGCAACTCTCCAAGGCCTTTGAATTTTGGCAGTTGTATGAATTAAAACAAGCCACGCAATTTATACATCTACCGCAGTCGTCACAAGTGGAGTAATCATTACATCTGGTGCAGTCGTTAAATTGGTGACAATCGTGGCACTCTTTACAGTCGGTTCATTCAATTAAACGGTTGGAATTTAAACAGTGCAGACAATCGAACGAATCTATCAAGTCAATTGAATTTCTCGTGTCTTTGCAAAAATAACAATTCACGTTTGTTTTATGGTTTATCATTTCCTCTTATATAGTTTCTATTTATTTTTCATTTTTTTAAGCGGCGCATAAATCATCGGGAATGAATATTTCATTCGGCTTGTAAACGTCTTTGACAGTCTTAGTCTTTCTCACAAAACAAACGCGGTGCCTTTGGTTTTGCACGTCTAGCTTTGCCTCCGCAATTAAATCTCGTTGCGACTCGTAGCTATTGACGATTAACCACGTCGCGTGAGCGGCAACTAATTTAGCGTATTCAAATTTAGTGTCTAAAGTTAGAGTCATTTGATTTTATAAAATTGTTGAAATTTTTTTAAGTTTTTCCCGGCGCTTCCAGACAAGAGCTTTTTTTCCTGCGGTGGAAAGTCCCGTGGGATTATTCCCAGTTTGTGTGTGTGTTTGGGGAAGTCGGGCCAGTTGGGTCACGAGTTTTTTGGGGGGAGTCCCTTTTTTGAGTCACGAGTGCTGGTTTGGAAAGTCCCTACTGATCTGGGAAGTGGGAAAAGGGTGCTGATCTCAAACCGGCTCGTCTCTACGACTAATGTGGCTTAATTTCACGAGTGTTTATTTAATCCTTTCTCGCGTAAGGTAAGCCTAATTTTGATTAATGTATTCAGCCCCATTTAAGTACTATTATTAGCAGTAATGATGAGATTGAATGGCAATAAGAATGTTATTCCCTGGAAGCAATGAACATGATTAAAAATGAAACACCTTTACAATACATTCCTGGATAGGAGACACATTTGCACTCTACCTGCATGGTATCACTTACATCATTACGCCAAGCCATTTAGGGACCGGTGGTCTTGGTTTCAAGACGTTAGTGCTTGATAGCGGACACCGTGCATAGTGTGCCCCCTAACGACTCATAATTAAACTGTGCGCCAGCTCGCACTAACATCGAATCTTGCAGCAGCGTTTTGACTTGTTTTTATTTTTCCCTCGGCTTTCCAAGGAAACCAATCAGCACTCGCTAAATTGCATGCATAATAAATTCCGATGACCTGAATAATACACCATGGGAAGGTTACATGCATCATGTCTGTCTGCAGGTATGCGTCAACACAGACGTTCGTACGTATGGAGTTAGCACGGAGTAGGCCTAGGCTAAGTCATGACAGAGGATGCTGTTGTTGATGACCATAATCATGTGTAGTCTGTATGCCCTCCCCAGCTAACTACAACGTCCTTAGAGACCATGTAGACTTTGTCCTTCGAGGACGGAGTACCCATAATGCTAGTTGGTTGTCGTTCTTGCTGCACGTGTAGGTGTTTTAGGTGTTGCTGTGTTAGTAATTTGGCCTCATCAGGCCCAGCATGCTCATTGTGAGTTGCAAAAAAAAAAGGGGAACATATTTCTTGCGTGGTGTCAGACATTAGACAACGATTTTGTTTTCCCAATTCTGCCACAGGTATTGCAAACATGATGCGATGCAGCACAACTGTAGTCATTTCATTTAATATCATTTGTATCCAACATAGTTTATTGGAATACATTGAAATTCGTTGTGGTTTTGCGAGCGTTAAAAACTTGATAATCAAAATATATGTACAAAACAATAATAAACGACATTACAAAAATTCACACTAGAATTACAACAAATAATTTCAGACAGCATATAAGGTAAAATAACAATTGATTATTAGATAAAATGGGATTAAGATAACAATAAAATCTGACGGATCACTGATTAGGACTTTGATTGCACCTTTACATGTATATTCAATAAGCAAACTGCACTTGAATAAAAACTGTTCAAGGTTCGAGTCGAATCTGTGCGAATTGATCTGTAACGTTTATCTTATCTCATCCGCTGAAATAAGTCATTCGCAGGATGGAATCCATCTGAGACAATTGACATGCACTTCTTTAAGACCCTTGCCTCATAAAATTCTTCCATTGCAGGTAGTTTACACCCAATTATAATGCTAGCGGTTTTAACAACCTGATTGAGGCGTTTCCGGTCTTCCACTGTGGTGTTCCCATACCAGACAGCGATTGAGAATGTCGGGACACTCTCAACCACTACCCGATAGAACTTCACCAGCAGACCTTGGCTGACCCAGAAACTCCTCAGTCTTCTGAGACAAAACAGTCTCCAACGATATCTTTTAGAAGAGAGGCAATTTCATGTCTGGTATGGAGTGTAAAGTATGTCTTGCATGTCATTAATCCCTTCCTACAAACCAGACAGTATCGACAGGGTACTTGCTCGCGTAAAGCCGCCATGTTGTTTGAACTTCGAACTACATGTACATAATTATAATACCAAGGCTGTCTACGGATTGGACCCCACCACTATCGCAATCCCCTAGACCGCCCCATCAACACGAAGAAGGTGCAGGCCATTCTTGAAATGCCCACATCCACTATTAAACCTGACCGAAATACAATGCCTGCAGGGCAGTGTCGACTGCTTGGCAAGATTTCTGCCCATGCTCTCAGATGCTTTTGAACTGCTGAGAAGACTGGCTTGCAAAGACGTTGATTGACAGTGAACAAAGGAACAAGAACTTTTGACGAAAGCACCTGTCCTTACATACTACTCACCTGATAAGCCTCTCACCATACAGTGTGATGCCAGCAAAGCAGGTCTAGGAGCGACACTCGACGAGAGTGAAGGAGAGACGAGAGGAAGGTCAACCACTGTCATATGCCAGTCGAACCCTGCACCTACGGAACAGCAGTATGCCCAAATTGAAAACGAAGCCTTAGCAGTAGTCTTTGCATTAGAACGCTTCCATCAATCCACCTTTGGACAGAGTCATAGAACGGACTGACCATAAACCATTGGAGGCCATAGTCAAGAAACCCCTCCACCGAGCACCAAGATGCCCTAAAGGCATGTTGATGAGAATGTTGCACTATGATGTGGATATCAAATGGGTAAAGGGACGAGACATGTATTTGGTGGATATGCTATCCAGGGCATATCTTCCAAACATCACCGGATCATCGGAATTTGGAGAAGTCAACCTCGTATTGACTCCCTCAGCATGAATGAGGACAGAATCTGATGCCTCCAGAGGCCTACCAGGGAAGATGAAGTGCTGCAATGGTCAAGATAATCATCCAGAAAGTTGGCCAGAACACAAATCTGACGTCCCAGAAACAACACACCCCTTCTTCAACTTCAGAGACAACCGAAGTAGACCGTCTATATGACCTCAACAGCAAGACCATCAGAACCAAACTGAAAAGCCACTTTGCCAGATATGGGATCCCAAACACTGTTGTGAGTGATAACGAACCACTATACAGTTCGCCAGAGTTTGCAAACTTCTCTAAAAAATGGGGATTCGATCACTACACCTGCTCCCCAAGACATACCAAGCCAATAGAAAGGCAGAGTCAGCTGTGAAGGCAGCAACGTGACTGATAAAGAAGTCATCCCACTCAAAGACAGATGTCTACTTTACCTTACTGGACACGAGAAAACACTCCCTCCCAAGGGATCAGCTCCAGCCATGCACAACGGCTACATGGCAGAAGAACATGAACGACTCTACCAACAATCAGCAACCTGTTGAAGCAAAGAGGATCAGAATTTCTGCAAAAAGAAAGAGCGCAATAAGCACAATAAGCATGCCAAAGATCTCCCAGAACTCGAAGAAGGCAATGTTGCGAGACTCAAACCATACAGACAAGGAGAAACGAAATGGCAAAAGGCAAGAAACGACTGGATCAGAGATCATATGAAGTCGAAACAGAAAACAGCCTTCTACTTCGACGAAACCGAATCGACCTCAAGAAATCAGAACCACCCCAAGTGATCCCAGAAGGAAGGTCTACCTAGGAAAAATGCACAAACCCAACATCACTTTAGTCTACCCGAGAACAGCTGTCACACCCACACGTACGAGCAAACGTCAGAAAGGCAAACGGAAAAACAGAAGAGCAACGGAGCACTACAAATAAAAAAGCTACACACAAACAGCCCAAACAGCCCAATCCTGCAAGAATGACACACTAGATCAGGAAGAGTGATCAAACCACCAACAAGAATTGAATACATCAAATACTAATCACCATTGTCCCATCCAGTCCACATCCTCAAAACAAAACTCAGTGTTCACATTACAATTTCTTAATTGTTGACATTCAAAAGTTGAGATGTTTAAATACTTTGTATCCAAACGTTGAGAAGTGTTGAAGTCGATATTCAACATTTAACTGTTTACAATCTTTCAGAGTTTGTTTAAAGCTCACTTCAGTGATATAATTTATGATGCCCCAAACTCTTCAAAAAGGGGAGGATGTGTTGAAAGCAGTATGTGCATACATTATATGTTGACCTCTCACCTGCACAAGTGAGCTAGTTCATGTCTTCCTGAGGGTTTCTGATTAGTCTCCCGATCGTCTTTCCATGTGGGACAGCCCATAATGAAACAATTCTAGAGCTTCAAAGAGTCGTTGAGCATCATTATCACCCTATGAAACGTATACATCATATACATGATAGGTATTACAATCATGAATAACTTGAACATAAAGTAAATAACTTTCAAGAATAACATCATGATTCTGGACTGAATAATTAGGTTTCGTGAGAATAGACACACCTGATCCTCTGGAATTTCCAGGAGTGCAGGTAACCCGGTAGGTCCAGCTTTTCCACACATTGGAGGAAGAAGGTAAATGGTTGATCTCCTTAAGAAAACAATATCCAGGTTATGACAAGAATGTTGGGTGATCTACTGAAAGGCTGCCATTTGCTGCAAACTGAATTTAACGGGAGGAAACGGTCCATTTTATATAGATTTTTCCAACATTGACGTAACTTTTAAATATTCAAAATTATCATGACATAATTGTTTTAGTATTATCTTTGCTTTATGGTCTTTGCTGGCTGTAACTTTCAGGACGATTGAAGATCTCTACATTATCAAAATGTTGCCTTGAAAACATGTACAAAGTCAATGGGCTTAAATAAATACAAAAAATCAACTCGTTTAAGACGTCAACACAACACCATTGCGTTAGAGAATTCCTTGTTCAAGGGTCCTTCATTGGAAAAAGTTTGAGGAATATCCACAGTTGCTAGGGGATTAAAGTTGATGGTGGAAGAAACGTGTACAAAACAAAGGGGATTTGGCGTGGAAGAAGAATTAAAAACCAACATGAATGCCTTTTTTGCAACTTGAGAAAAAGCAAAAAAAAAAAAAACAATCTGAACAAAAATAAAATGCTTGTTTGCAAGTTGCGGAAAAGCCAAAAAATATCGAGACAAGAATACCTTTAGAATACCTTTTTTGCAGAACTGCATAAAAGCCAACAAAAAGAATGCCTTTTTCGCTAAGGCTGTTTGGCCGGAAACCGAAACGGCTAGAAATCTTGCCAAAAAGAGTGCATTTTTTGCAAAATGCGAAAAAGCCAACAATTCATTTGGTAACATCCTGACATGTAATACAAAAGGCACATTGTACTGGGTATGAAGGTTTTCTTCTCTTCATTCCACACATTTCATTAAAGACTGCAGCTCTACAAAATAAGACTCCTTTTATTTGATATATTAGAGAAAATCTAATTATTTCATTTTGTTCTCCGCCGACTAATTAATGTTTAAGAAAATGCATATTTCCAGAGCTGACAATATACTGGTACAATAGCTGATTCTTAAGAGAATAAAAACAGAGCGAATACCATTTAACTTAAAAACTTACATGTAAAATAGCACGGACATAATATACCAAACAACGCAAAAGTCCCAAGTGCGAGCAAAATTGAGGACATCATGTATACGTATAAACAATTGTAAACAATGGACAATTACTCATGAACAAATTCTGTGTGAAGTTGGTTTTAAAGAATGGGCAAGAATAACTATAGTATTAAACAAATTTAAATAACAGATTGACCGATATAACAGACCCTATTTTACTAACCTGCCAATTCTAATAATGTACTTACCCTTTCCAGTTTTGCTGTATATTTTATGCTTCAATACAATTTTAATACCACTTGCTTTTCCAAGTTTTAATTTTAACCATTCTTAGCGGCAGTTCGCTAAGAAGTCTTTCACGTTTTACCTTTTATAACATCTTGTTTTATTTCCCCATCGCTTACTTTAAGTCTTTGTTATGCTTCAATATCAAATACATGTACTTGTATATAGATGTATTTCACTTCCATTTGATGAGGTTTTACACTTCTTTCTGAGTGACTCTGGCGAGTTTCTGATTAATAAATTGGTTTTTGAAATGTTACTTTTCTGATCACAACTCTTATTTGGGAATTTTCATTGGATTTGTTTCCGCTTCTATGATGACCTATTATTTTGCACATTTAGTTTTACAGACTTGGCTGTATCCCTGCTTTGATACTTTCAATTTAAGCTTTTAATAACTCTTTACATGATTTGAATTCGTGTGAATTGAAACGGGGCCTTCATAGAAAGCAGTTTTATAACTGATGAGACCACCCTGTATAAATAAGACAGCAAATAAATAAATATTTGCAATATACTCCAACCTTCTGGACACACAAATGTTCTGAACAACTATGGCATCGTGGCTTACACTAATCATTTGTCTTTGCCGAGGTTGTACCCATCATTTAGTTCTCAAGTATTCATGTCTTAGAATTCTGCACATAAAAATAATTAACACAAGTTAATTCAATGAAATAAAAAGTTTATCAATAAACTGAATAGTTTGCAATAAAAAGATCCTACTTATATAAAGACTTAAGTTATGATATTCGACTGGAAACCAATTATTAAAAAATGGGCTTAAATTAACATTTTGTTTGGACAACCAGTTGTATTGCAACAATCTACCAATCAAAACTCCTGCTACGCTACATACTTGGTTTATGGGTCTTAGGTTCTTTACCTACTTTCATTTTTCATCAAAAAAGAGAAATTAGAACAACAGATTCCTCAGCCAGACTAACTTCCCCTGCACAGCGTGTGACCACATTTCAAAGTTTTAAAGTTTCACCAACATGCATGCATGTCCCATCCAGTCTTTATAATGGAGATCAGTGGTAGGTCTATGATAGGATACCAGGGAGAAAGCTAGGGATTAGTTCTGTTCCGTAACAGTTTGTTTACCCTGATGAAGAGTACTTGAATCCTGGGGCCTACCAACAAAAAGGAAGATCTAAAACCAGGAGGTGCATAGGGAGGCTATCCCATTGAAATTCTGTAGTCACTTGAGAGTACTTAGTTCTGCCTGGCATGGTTGAATTGTAGATAAAAGAGGCTACAAAATTACTGGTCAAAGTTGCTCATGTCCTGCCCGAGGTTTGCCATAGCTGTCCGTGCAGAGGTTAATGAGGGAACTGTCTGGTTGGCCCTGTGCATTAGGTGTAGGTTTTTCCTGAAGGAATACCACAGTTGCTGAGCGACCAATGGGGGAACAGTGATTGTGAGGGAGGGGGATTTGGTAATTCTGCCATAGTACTATAAACTGTCCAGTGTGGTTCTTGTGTTGGGCTTGACCACCGATACTTCCCTCACCCACTGTTACTTGCCTAGTAATATCGTATCCAAAGCATGCCAGGCAAGGCGGTTAGGCCAGAGGTGAAGATGAATGCAAAATTAACTTCTTAACAATATAACCTCCCAGACAAATCTTCAAGTTTGACAGCCACACATTTTATGGATTTTGTAGCACTGCATAACACTCACCTACAAAAAATCAACACTCATCAGCAATTGCTATAGTAGTACCATTTGGATTCTGTACATCCAAACCAAAGTGCACCCTTTATCAAGCTCCATTCGTCAAAGAGAAGAGGGCTGCCGATCAGTGTTGCATTTGAGTCCGTCACAAGTCCTTTCATAAGTCCTTCACAAGTCCTTTCGCAAGGCCAGTCCAAGTAACAGGCTGAACAATGACAAAAGAATGCTTTTGTCACAACTCATTTTAATAACTTGTGATGGAATTACAGGCGCTCGTGATGGATTCAAATACAACACTGCTGTTGATATATCCTTACTTTTTCAGTCTGTCAATGGTGGAAGTCATGCTAATCATGTCACAGTGCATCCTGGTCCCAGCATCTGTTTATGTACATTTTTCCACAGAGACAAATTGACTTGGGACTGAGTTGGTTTCACACCAGGCTGGCCTGCACCATTTATCACCAGGTACATAGGAAGATGATTCTACTGGGGGGTGGAGGGAAGAAAAATAAAATCTAAAATTTCCATTTTTTAAATGTGATCTGAGTAAAATTATCACACACTGCTACAAATACTCCCACCCTGAGAATGCCAATTACACAACTTTTTTGGGGGGGGGCTCGCCCCCCCACTATTTTGGGGGGGGGGGAAAGAGGGGGAGCTATTTGTACCCCCGGTTCCTATATGTACATGCCTGTAATTATCACAATTATGACAATATACAAGTATGCATTTGAGCTGTGGCCCTCTTTGAAACACGACTCAGTAATTGCGTGAGTTATTTCTGCAAAGGTTAATTTGCGAGATGTCAAATGCAATGAATAAATGTAACAGTAAATGTAATTTTAATGTGCCATTCTAAATAACAAAGCTACTTTATTTCAAGTCATAGTATGTTTACATCAGTGAATAAATAGCCTGATAGGTTTCGGACTTCATAGGCTCCTGTATTTTACATTTCACAAAAGCTCTGATTTTTAAAAAAATAACTTACCATCAATACAGGCTGTTTTAATTCACATCCCTAAATACATGAATTATACAACATACACCAATTCATTTGCATACTGAACACAACCTATTACAACAAAGAAAATAGTAACATTTTGGTAGCAGACATTCCTTTGTTCTGCCTTTAAAAGGTTACCAGACCTTACTCAAAATACATAAGATATTCAGCATGTAATGCTTGATTAGCAAACACTACAATATCTTTAGGCAAACATACATGAACATCATTTTTGTATAATTCCGCTAACTGTATAACAAGATTGGCATTTGCTACTGTAGTCAAGTCCATCAAGAGCCCTGTTACAGAACACGAACATTTCCATATGAATGCTTTTATCCCAGTGCATGTCAACTGCCTGATTTTTGACTTGACATTGAATGACCTGTGCTGCGAGAACTAATGGTAGACAGTAGCCAAACTGTTGGCATCGTATATTTTCAAAAACATTTAAGTTAAAATAAATTACAATAAAGTTAAACCCAATAATGCAAGAAAAAACACAACAGCTTCTTGGCCAGAGCAAGGCCAGCATGTAATGAATTTAACTCTGGGTCCAATCCTCAACGCATGTAGCTGTTATGCTAACAATGCAGCTCAGAAAATTGTGGGAGCAGTAGCCATCAAAATGGAGCATCCTGTAATTGCATGGTTTATCATGTACCTGTTTACTACAATAATTTCATCATGGCCTCAAACATATACATGTATATATATACATGTACGAAGTATCGCAAAACCTTTAAATCTAATTTGTACTTGTCTGACAACCAGAAACATCTGATTTATCAAGTTTCTCAGGAGAAGAAAGATGTGTATGATCATAATCCTACAATTATGGCTCATTGATCAAACATGTACAAAGCTAACATTTTATTACCTTGTAAACACTGCAGAGTGATCAACCGGTGACAATGCTCTTTCCAAGATAGATACATGACGTATATAAAAAAAAATCTATTAAAATACTGCCTCATTTTTGAGCCCAAAATTAATAATCCATGCATACGTACCCTTAATGGAGGTGTCACATGATTGCAGCTCATCTATTATCATTTAAGAATTTTTCAGCTTTGTTTTGCTTCTTTTTTATTCAAATTTCCATTTCATTACTAATAAAAATATACGAAAAAGAAGGGAAGTCAGTCCACAAGTATCAATGATCATATTTGAATACATGTACAATCATGTGCCAACAACTTTTCAAGCTTGTACATACAATAGCATCCACAAGAACTGGTGTGTACAAATAAACTCTATGACACTTGATCACTGTTCCCTTGTGTACAAATTTTTCCAGGTGCATGGATTCTCAGTTAATAACAGTGGATTTCACCATTTCATTCCCTTAACTGCATTTGTATATGTAATTAAGCATAATCCAGATCTTCTCAAGTCTTAACATCAGATAGCAGACACCCTGTTCACAGAATTCATTGGGTTAATACACTGGTATGCTTTACTTTGTGTGCATTTCATTGTTCTACATCCAGGATGTAGTCCTGCAAGCAGTAACACCATCCACAAGATTTAAAGTCTAAAGAAGCTGATGGCTGTAATTGTTCATAGGGAGTATCAGTCCAAAAATGTTTTTTAGCAAACCTTAACTGTGTGGATGCGGACATACATCTATTTCACAGGTGTGTCACAGGCTTTTCGTACATATGTACAAAACATGTACTTTCATGACAAATTTGTCAGAATTGTTTAAAGCCATTAACATGAACTTAAACACAAAACCAATGTCTGACACATAAGAAATACACATTACAGCCCTTTATACACGTGCATGTACATGCACACGGTGTAACTAACCTTACTCCTTTCCTTATTCATATTTTCCAGAGTTACAATGGTTTCTGAGGATTTTTTAAATGAATCTGAGTATTGCCTCAAAATGAGGAATTCTTTCTTATTGACACTGTTCTAATGTAATGTGCTCATGCTTACATGATCGCTTTCATAGCTTTAAGTGGCTATACTGGAGCATGCCAATTTTCATTCAAGACAGAGTGCCCTTTGTTAATGCTGTACATGAACATGCATGTCTCCAGTCTCACTAATTCACATACGTACAGTTTCTCAAGTTACGATAAATGCGCATGTACTTTGACAACATAACCAAGAGATAACTAAAATTGCTTGTCAAAGCCTGAACTTGTAAGTTTCACTCACTGTTCCCAAAACTGTTCTGTTGAATGTACCCAAACAATGTGAAGACACGTGAACAAGTACATCAAGGTACACAGAAAGGAGTAACATTCATCATATACATGTATCCACAGCCTCATATCACCACAAGTATATTACATCGCAAGGCATTTACAAGGGTCCTCATGCCTCTGAGTACAGCAAGGTCCACATATAAATGTATGTTACGGCAAATGTACTGCACAACAATACTAATAGAAGTACATCACATGACCAGTTAAATCAAAGGGTAACCTGTCTTTACATTAAAAAATATCAGTACAATAATTAAAAAACAGACAGAACACTATACTTCACTATTTTTACAAGCTCTTTTCTACATATACATGTAGGTAGGATCAGAAACACATACAAAACGCTAATAGAGCCTCCAAAAGGCATTTTGGACACCAAATAATGGGTAAATATCAAGTCAAATGAGCTCGTCTTTGTTGTGAATACCTGAGTTGAGAAAATTCAAGAAGGTTTGCTTTGAGCCATTAAAAGTAATCACTATTTGCAAATGTACACACTTTGAACCTTGTTCACTGTGGTCTTGTGTTTGGATATCAAAATTATTAACACCAATGTGTTGTAATCCAGACCTCTCCATGATATACCATCCTATCTACCAGCATGCCATGTCTGTGACCTGTCACCACAAAATGAACTGAAAGTCATAATTTTCAAAAATTGAGAGTTGGTGTTTTGAATTCTGTGGAAAAAGAACTTTCAAACTGTAGAGGGCATATTTTCAAAAGACAAACTGAAATGGAACTCCACATGTCATTTTTCAAACTTATAAGAGTGACATTGGTCATTTAAAACACAAATTTGCAGCTTCTGCAGCCGATTTCACGAAACTTTATGCAACGGCGTAATGTTACTGATGCCACATTTTATTGTATAATTGCACAACAAATTAAGAACAATTTCACAAAACTTTAAACACTACACAAGTCATGCTGCAAATTGAGGCGTAACTTATGCAATCATTTTAACTTGTGTAAGTTGCATCGTACAGAGTGAAAATCAGCGATTTGACTAACCTACAGTGTTCAGTTGAGACTCATAACTGCTTAACTGAAGGCTTATATGAGACGCATACAACCTTGTTTAGAAAGTAATGAAAAACTTGTTTAGATGTGAGAGAACAAGATTTTCTGTCTGGTTCTGATGGGGAAATGACAAAAACTTCTTCAACATGGTGGGAGGTAAGCTAACAACTGTTTGATGACTGCTGTGATCTTGCCAAGAAAAAGCCGTCTTCAAAGTTGTTATTGTCCTCATCCAAGAAATTTAATTTAATGAAAACACTTGACAGCTAAGCAACTATTCGTAACATCAAACCTACACAGCTACATGTACAACACAAATTTGTGGCACAAAGCTTATGCATGGTGCAAAGTTACACCACGTTTCATGAAATTGGTTGCAGATTAATAAAACGATAATTTGGAGATAATTAGGCAGACTGTGTACATTTTGTGGACATTTAGTTGGCTATCAGTGCAAATAAAAGGGAGTTGATCTCATTTAAAGTTTTAAGTCTAAATATTTGTACCAGATGATTTGAAACCAAAATTTCTCTCAACAAAGACACTCCTGTACATTTTCCAAAAGATGTAATTTAATACCCCTCAAAAAGACCTTTACAGTCCTTTGCAAAATTTTCGGACCACCAATACAAAATGCATTAACCTGAAGAAAACCAAACTTAAACTTGCCAACTTGTGTTAATTTTCAGTGGGTAACCTTAGTATCTTGGTTAAACAGCTATTTGACTACATTTCCATTATTTGAAATGTTAACATTGTAATATTTTGTGTGCCCTCCTTTATTTCTGATTACTTTGGCTTTTTTACCTATGCTGCCTTAGAATGAAATGTCAAACGAAACATGCCTTTGCAAAAAATTTCATTCATTGGCTATAGAGCACTACACTGATGTTGTGCACCACTGTAAAAACATGTTAAGTAATCATTCAATGAAACAATATAATGCAGGCCCAGTGACAGAAACACCAATAAAATTCAAGGTGGTCTTAAAGATTTTGCTAATCACTGTAAAGAAAAATAAACCACGAAGTATTACAAAATTGATGGAAATTTATTGGGAAAATTTTACTCACTTCATTCCTTAATTGTTTTAAATCACTAACTATACAAGCACATCTGCAAGGTCTCACCACCTTTAGCCTCCAAAAGTTATCTGTATTTGGCAGCATCAAAATTAATGACTACATTTGTTGCAAAAATCATATTATATTTGACACAATTTTGACGCTATTTGAGAAATTTAGCAGAAAATGCATGACATCCCAAATCATTAAAAATGCTGACGCATGTAGTACTCAAAATTCCACGTGCAATGTTCATTTTGTCATTCGTTTTGGAGATATTCCGGCTCAAAATTAGATCAAAATATAAAATTCAGGGCATTTGATTTACATCCCTAACCATATTCTTTGTCTTAAATGTCAATTTTTGAGAAAGATGTGCAGTTTGACAGATTTTTGGTGAGAAGAAAAAATCCCAGAGCATAAGGGGGCTTATGAATATCAAGCTGAAAAGAGGGCAAACTAATTGGGCTGATGTTAAAGGTCAAACAACCCACAAGGCAGCAATGCAATGTCACCCAGAAACATTGGACATCCCCAAGTCAGCGCTATGTTGGGCTTATGAAAATGTGATTGTTCCAGTCGTAGAAGGATGACGGTTTGGGGTCCTTATGTGCATTCCTTTCTTGAGCTCATGATGTATATTGCTTTTCATTTTCTCTTTCTTGTCCACATTTGTGACAAAATCTAACAGTGTTCACAACTGCCGACTTTGGGCAGGCCTGTTCGATACCCATTGTTAACTTAACCAATATATTGTGAAAAAAATTGCTATATTCAATAAAATGATGATGACGTCATTTTGGGGAGGGGGTGTTTCATGTCAGCCACCGTTACATCACAAGGTCTAGGTAAAATAAAGTGCGATTACACGATCCGATCCCCAAGGGCGCCGATCCCTGGAGCATGTACTGGCCTAAATGTTACTTTTCATCAGGCAAACCCAACTTGAATTCACTTCTGATTTATTTGTTAATACCCCAGGACCTGGAAGAAAATTAATTGAACATTCTGAACGAGTGAAAATGGTTAATCACTGTGAACCTTCAGTATCTTGCACATGCGAAACTAAAAACAACGAAATTACGGTATTGCCCGCTGCACCATCTTCCATTGCTGTTTACTGTTGAAAGCATCTATAGACACGATAAGTTGGATGGAACCAAACTAACAAAGTCGAATTCAGCTGCCAAGTAAACTACCAACGTGCGTACACGTACACAACTCTCACATGTGCCCATGGAAATCTCAAATACAATTGGGTGTGTAAACATAGGTGATACGAGCAAGGAGCAACTCAACAGATAAATATCTGGTATATTAAAAGGAACTGTCTACTGGATGATCCAAGTGATGTATGAGCCCAGAATTGCCTCATTTCAGTGAGATTAAGGAAACAAAGTTAGTGTTTGTAGATCTTTGGGAATTTGTAACATTACAAACATACAGACCACTGTCACTACAAGCGGTTTTCTTTTTTCCACATGGTCCCATGGAACTGAATGCAACTGGTCACACCCACTATTTTACATAAATTAGGTTAAGACTTGTATGTGCCATAAGTCATATTTTCCCAAAATTCATGTCAATGTTACTTTTTAGAGTTGATCGTTTGAATATTTGACAATAACGTTCGTCAAACTGCCTAAAGTGTTTCGTTAGTGATAAAAACAAATATGACTCTTCCAGATACTAAATTACATGAAAACACTGTGATTATGCTTTCACAAAGGCCAAATAAATGCTGTCTTTCATACTGTTGCCTGACATTGGCGAGGGCATTAAGACAGCTTAAATCATGGGCCAATGATCCTTTGAGTGTGCACTTGCAGTGCTTATCAGTGACTTGGTGCCCAGTCAGCACGCTTGCGTTATGTTTTTGTCGAACTCAAGGACGAATGAAACGGGCTTCATACTCCACTAAATTAACAGCGGAAATAAAGCGGCAACATTTTTAGAAGTATCAAATTTCTCGATATTTCAATATAAGAAAGAAGGCCTGATTCGATATGAAAAAAATATGGCGGTCTCGAAAATTATAGTGATATCGAATAGGCTTAGCTCTGGGATCATCTAGTTTGTGAGTCAAGTTTTAAATTGGTGATCATGGTTTTAATATTTAGTATATAACACATAATATTTACACGTATTAAAACTTTTAATACATGTAAATATTATCACCTGGAACCCCTTACAAACCTGTTAAAAATTTAAGTGGGGACAAGGACACTGTTTGTGTACAAACACCAATAGTTTTAACCAAATAAGATATTTACTTCGGAAGATATTGCTTCAAAGTTTGCAGCTTTAATGCAATGTCACGAGAAAAACTGCAACTTTGCCCTCATGTAATGTGACCCCTGACGATGTCACCGAGACAATTTTTTCTGACACTCTCTCGAATTGATGGACTAAGTATAAACATAATATAAAGTCACTCAGATACATGTAGATGAGTGCCTGAGTCTGTGACATAGGAATAATGTACACAAAACCTACAGACATTCTAACTAAGAGGAAAATTTCCTCTCTCTTTAATTCTCATAGTAATCCTTGGCCAAGTTGAGAACGATAACGGAGAGAAATAAAACATGTACAAAGCCCATGGAGAGCACTGCAACTTTAACCTCATGTCACGTGACCCCTGATGACGCCACAGTGACGATTTTTTTAGGACACCCTCTCGGGCTAATGGACTAAATATGCGCTTCATATGAAATCAGTTTGATGAATGAGTGCTTGAGTCTGTGACTGTAAAAACGTGCATAAAACCTATGCAGAAAAACCCTGCACCCTTAAACTCTTGCCATGTGATTTGCGTCTGACACTAAGGATCTTCCCAAAATATTACTTAATATTTTGAATCTTGGGTATATTTGTAATCGATCAAAGGGGGAGAAAATTCTCTTTTGTTCTCATAGTAATCCTCTGCCCAAATTGAGAGCCCCTCTGTCATTAAGATTGGTAGCAATGCATAGTAGATAAATGTGAACAAAACCTGTGAAGAAAAACTGAAACTTTAAATTGATGTCACATGACCCCAGGTGCCATCATTATGATTTCACTCTAGGACCTTCTCTAACTGGTGGGCTATGAGTAAGCATTAGTATGAAGTCAGTCAGAAAAAGAAGAATGCCCAAATCTGGCTCTTGAAAAACGTGTACAAAAACCTATGGTGAAAATTAAATATTCTGAATTCAATAATAAATCATGTGAATGTAGAGAAAAAGAGAAAAAATAAATAAACAGCTACTACTTCCAAATGATATTTAGGTGGCAAATATTTATAGGTTGTTCATGTTCGTCAAAAATGCTGACATTTAAGACTTTAGTTATCCAACTCTGATAAAGACGAAGGATGCCACTGTGTTCAGATGTTAGTCATGACTCCCCTAATTTCACCAGACATTATAAATTCAGTGTTGTTCCTTTCAGGCCCATATTTTGTAGAAACTACCCAATAACACCACGGGGTAAAGTAGGGTGACAATGTTGACATCATTCCTGTGGCTTCTTTCTTTGTTTTTGACACTATTTCAACATATTTGACCAGCCATGAATAATGCTTTCCTCATAATTGGAAAGAAAATTACATTTTAAAATAACTGATACTGCTAAAAATTTGGAATTACATTGCTCTTTACAAACCCCCACAATTTACCTCCCCTTCGATATTTGACTTTAACCATTACAAAAGGTAATAGTGGAAAGCAACTTCACACTCATTTTGTTGTGATGGGTCACATATGCACTCATATTTTGGTTGTCAATAGGTCAAGATACAGAAATAGCAAAACAAAAATGACCAGAAATGCTAAACAAAGGTTACCACCAAAAACATCATGACAGGTCTATTGTTTACGACACTCCTTGGTGGATTTGAGAAGCAAAAAGCAAATTCTGTGAACAAATGCTCAACAAGTGCGTGAAAGTATCGAGTAACTACTTTTCGGTACAGTGAACATGTACGTGCTCTGTAGTTCGATCAAATGATTATGTGATTTGTAATTCAAAACATAAAACAGTTCCCTATGATGGTTTGGTTATTTAATTTTCATATCTGGACAGATGACCCTATGTGAAAAGCTACTTTCTGTTTATTTTTTCCCTTTATTCTTGCCTTGTCCTCTTGGTGGAGTAACAGGTCGTCCAGAGTTTATGCCGCCATAGGGAAATTTCTTCTTGTCAGCGGGTTTTAGAATCTGTACAAGGGAAAGTGAATACTTATTTTGTGAACATCAATGTTTTTTGTGGTATTTTTCTTAAATTAAGTGAGAGAAAAACACAAAGTACATGATGACATTCAATATGAGAGACTTTTGCTAATTCTTTTGGCCTTTAAACTGAATTGAAGAGAAACCATTCAGCATGGTTATTGGAACTTAAGCATATATACTCCAGGGGGCGCTGTTCAGTGTGCTACTGCATGCACACTAGTTTTTATGGCTGCCATTTCATTTTCTGAAGGATTTCTCTGTTTCTAGCCTCAAATCAACCATTTTTTCCCTATTAATTGGGCCATTGTTGCCTTATTACAGCTGAAAGCTGGGTAAACTTTTAAGTGAACACTGTCTGGTGTGCCGTTCCTGAGTGTCGTCTGTTCTTATCAGCAAGCAGTAGCACCCGTCCCACTTTGGTCTACACCAACTGCATGATCTCTTTGTTCCATTTCTTTATATTTATGTCACAATTCTTTATTTGCATGGAAAACAGACGTCAATGAAATGAACCTGACTATCAAAGTACCCAAAAAAAAGTTGGAGTCACAAAATTCCTTGGGAATTTGCTGCAAACAAATTATCGGCAGACAAGTATAGCACTAATCAAGCCATACATGTAAGAACAGTAACATTTTGATTTTTGCATTGTGGTCGAGACCTCTTAAAACCATCACAAGGCCCCATGAGTCAATTTCAACTCCCACACAACTTACACAAGACCTCCAATCTGAAGTCGAGTTAAAAGATACTCAAATGAACTGTCCCCCCCCCAAAAAAATCCTTTGTCATTATTCACCCTCCTACATGTACTTGTGACTGGTCTTGTGGCTGTTTAAAATTCAGCGAACCAGTTTTTAAAATCTCAGCTTTCTCCCATCACTAGTAGGCACTTGCACCCAGAGAAAGTGTGTTCATTGGTTGCATAGGTTGGACACAAAGGACAACTTCATGGACTGTGATCGTTAAGTCATGCTTGACATGAACACTATAATTGATTAATCATACCTGTGTGGCAAAATAATATTGCAGTATTAATATTTTATATTATTAGTATTAATACTAGGTATTATTATTTCCAATATAAAAAAAATCTCAGCACCAATTATTATTGTCATATCAACAAGCCTAAATGTAGGTCAATCAAGAACATTTTTGAAGCTGCTGGTTACCAATTTCATTATTTTTTACAACTTTTGAGGTATGAAAATGAACCCAAATCTGCTTTTTACCTAAAATATCTTAAGGTAATTCAAATTATTTTCTTAAGTTGTTGGGAAGTGAAGTTTACCTGGAAGGAACACATTAATGTTTCATCAACACTCATCATGGCACCCGCATTGTCGAATTCTCCACAGTAGTTCGGGGCCGAGAAGAGTGTCACCAGCTGACGTTTCGCAAAGAACTCATACCCATCTTCAACTACCTAAAATGTAAAGAGAATCGTGTATTAACATAATTGTAGAGTACACAATATTTATCAACCCTCACAAAAAATCTCACATCTGACTATTAAACTGTTTTTCCATTTGATTGGAATTTGTATATTTAGCGAATGTTTGGGGTAAGTTGAAAGCAGAAGACCTAAGTTTACAGGCCTAGCACTCTTAGGGATAATAAGTCTCTCCTAAGCTTATACTTTAATAGTCCAAAGACATCCAAGTCTGTAAGCTGCAATAAACAAGCCACAGGCAATCCTGACCTAAAGTAGGAAGTATGTACAGGTGCATTTCAACATGCTACCATCAATACAAAAATACAGTTCAAACACTTTAAAATGTCAACATATGCCCAACTGCTGGCCCACTTGATCATTAGTAAATCCCCAACAAACACTTGTAGAACCAATGATTTTCCGTTTCAAAAATGGGCATTTTCTGTTTTGCCAAATCCCAAATTCCACTTCAGAAATTCAAATTCCTTTGGACATCAACCCACCATTTTATTTGGCAATAGTGAGACAAAATTCAGGAAGTTAACATTAAATCTGAGCCTTAAAATGTAAGTTTGTGACTAAAACCTTAACACTTTATTGAACACTTCCGAGGGCACATTCAACTATGGCACAACAAGCTTACTTGATTTCGTTTAATTCAAGAAACATGTCATTAGTCTTCCATTTTGCTGCCACAATTTCATCGTTTTGCCATGCGGTACTAGCCTTGTCTCAAGGCGTCCATGCGAACTCAGACTAAATTCCCCAAGTGTGCAATAGTCATATGTGTAAGAACTTGTTTGTGCCTTGATTTCATTGCTAATAAGGTGCGCGTGTGATGAACACCGCTGCGCCAGCTGATGCTGCACGAATGGGGCCCACGCACACCACTGCGCCAAGTATCGGCACCAGTGTGGTGCGGACGACCCAAGCATGTAGTGGAATGGTGCAATTTAGCATGTTTCCAGCGTAATTTGTTCATTAAAGCAAGCATTTGAAAAGGGTTTGGTAGGCATTTAGTACTTTGCAGAAAGTTTTCTTTACTTTTAAGTCATTCTTTGAGGGAAATTTTGCAAGTTCCGTTTCAAGCAGTGCATTCCATTTCAAAATGTTGATTCTGCGACTTCCGTCCATTTTCCGCGATCATGGAAAATCATACGCTCTGCACTTGCCATCTTTCTCTTTCTGGTGATCTCCGTCCTGACCATATGTAATAGAAGATCAGGCCAAAAATAGGTATACAGTAAACTCCGGGTAAGTCAGCACTCAAGAAATTGTGACGACTTACGCGAATGCCAACTTGTGCTGTAAGTCATCATTTTGCCGACTTACAGGTACACGTGTACATGTGTTGCCTATGTACATTACAATTCTTTGCACTAATTCAATGGCTTTGATTTACCCTAGTTTATTTCTTCCTCGATGATCGATCCCAGCAAATTCGTTCTCGATTATTATCCTCACGGGCTGCAAATTCGATAATTGATCATGTGCCCCTAAGGACAAAGCAAGGAAGGCAAGCCACTTGCACATCACATCACGACTCAACAGTGCAGTACGTACATGTACATGACACAGTTACGTTACAGAAAACATACACTCATCCGCACACGCATCGGTTAAGTTCATTCAATAAGGCAACCCCGAAATGGACAGAACCCATGCATGTAGCACTACAGGAGATGCTGGTATTGATGTACTCATGCTGGCCGATTATCAACCACGGCCTGTGCTGCTAATAAACAGATATCAGTCAAGCAGTGTGGGATTCAAGCAGTGTGGGTCGACCGACACTTCTTGGCAACTGTGGCGAAGAAAACTGATACCGAAGCATGACTTTTTTTTAATGCCGACTTACACAAGGGAATTTTTGTGGTTTTGTGGAAAAGGGACCGAGAAAAACATGCAGACTTATAAGAAATGACGACTTATAAATGAAATTTTCAATGGAAATGCATTACAGACGATCTGGACTTTTGTCAAAAGCCGACTTAGACGATACGACGAGTTACGCGATGCCGACTTAGTCAGAGTTTACTGTACAGTATGTGTAACAATTTAATACTGGAGGGACATGAGACTTGGTATATAAAAACCAGCTTAAAAAACTTTGGATGTGTAGTCCCAAACAAAATATATCTAATGTGGACCTCAATACATGAAGTTATAAATGCAATAATATTTTTAACATAACCACAACCACCACATTTTTTATGAGGACTAAACATGATGGTAATGCTTGTAAATGAGACCCCAAAATGTGACATGCCAATAATAACGGATTAAAAAGTCTGTAATGACTGTTATAAATGTCATTGGATTTTTTTTTCTGTTGTATTCTATGCTGTTATACCTTCTGAATGCTTGTACGTATGTTCAGTTGAATAACTGACAGATCATGTATTTTGCAAAGTCATCTTAGTTTATGGTAACGTTCGTAACATGGTGTCCTGAGCAGTTATGAGTGTGCATGTTGATGCTGCTCTATCACTGCCAGAAGTTTTAGTTTGCCCAGTTGCCCCAATCAAATAAAAATAACCATCTGTAAATTTAGAATGCCCGAGGAATCTGCAACTGTTGCCATGAATTAAATTTGCAGACTTTTTTCACTGTGATTTCAATCGAGTCCTGTTTGTAACGCGTTACAAGCGTGCGTTGTGTATCGCATCAAGCCTACACTTTCTGGTGTACATTCCAGTAAAATGACATAAACACAGCCTCGTACCCAGCAAGTATGAGCAACATGCACATGAAATGTTTCCTAAAACAGGGAACAAGGATGGGGTTGCGACCTTTGTCGTGTCTTCACGTTGGTACAGCTGTTACAATGTACAAGCGTGACTGTCGAAATTTAAGGATTGCAATCCAAGGAAATCTGAGTCAATCCACTGCCATCGCATAATATTCCTTTACTAGAAGCCCACTTTAAGAACTTACAGACACAGAACCTACTGTCTGTTTAGCAAACTATGTGCTTACAGACCGATTTTTGAATGGTGACATATGACAATGTATGAAAGTCGCTCAGCGTCCCGTTTAAAAAAAACAAAATTTTTTTCATCTACATGTCACACATTTGTGACCAATATCGTATACATGCACATATACATGTCTTTATCACTCATCAATGTCTACAAGAACAGCAATTTGTATTGTAATTGGAAGACCGAAGGTCAAAAGGTGTGTTGGTCTGACATGGAATGACCCACCAACGATTTAAGAAGTCTATGGTCTTTCCAACTGTGCTTAGACCCTACTCAACTTTACTGACAGACAGAAAGGGGTATTATACCCTGTCGGACTGAGCACAGCACCACAGGAGTCTTTTTGGAGACAAGTGTTTGGTACAAGAAGCGTCCATTGCATCCAGCATATAAGCAGAAGCAGGAAAATAGAGACTGAGTGTAATTACACACCTTCCACTGTGGAGGTCAGATCTCTGACTTCCGTCAAGACGGTCTCCTTCCTGAAGTTCACAGATGTGGTGGAGACACTATATTCATTAAAAATCACAAATCTGATTACACCAGATTCGGAGAAGGAAGAAATACCAATCTGCAAAATGCTTTGATAATGTACCTCTAGAAAAATAAGGGCAAAACTTCTGATTGTTCCAACTATCATGGTATAACCTCATGATTAACTGCAGGCAAGATCTTGCTTTGTGTTCTCTTACCCAGACTGTATATACCGATGATTACAGAAGTACTTCAAAAACACTACAGATATGATCGTTGTCCTTTGCCAGATCCAAGGAAAAAGCAGAGAGCAGAACATGGCTCTGTATGAAGCCAACATTGATCTGACAAAAGCCCTTGACACAGTCAGCAGGGATGAGTAACTGGCAGATCATGGGCAGACTAGCTAAGATTCCTTGCAATTCTCCACTACTTTGCACAGGCTAGCATGGGCAGGTGAATCACAATGGCAAACTTTAACCCCTTGACGATGGGAACTTTTTCTGAAAGCTGACTCCGAGAATTCCAGCCTCGTTTGGCCACGAAGGCCACGTGCCAAACCGCAAATTCTCAATTTGTGGCCATGGGTGCTCTGCACACTTTGAATTACACAGTGAAAAGGGCTCATTGTTCGGTGGCATGCGGCTCTACTCACGCTTCTACATTCCCGTTGCCTCTTTTCAAAGTGGGGACTATTGTTAAGCTGGTGATTATGAAGCAAATTCAGTCTTTTCATTTCTGCTGCCTTCTGGCCACTGCTATTTTCCGATGTAAGCCAATTCCTTTTTTGATAGAGTAAGTAATCAGCACTGATAATTCGCGAGANNNTGTGTTTGCTCATGGTCGAAATTCAAATAGCATTTTTGATTCGGATTATTTCAACAGCCCAGTCTTGATCATACTTTGAAGGCCTCTAGACAATGAGGAATAAGGCAAACTCCTTACTGAAGGAGTAAACTCTCTACTGAAGGAGTTGTTCCTGAGAGGAACAGAAATTGTCTCTGGATCGGAGAGAGTGAAGCAGAATAAAGTGTGGGTTAATTGTCCTTAAGGAAGAGGGAAGCGTGTAAAAAAAAATAAATAAATAATGCTTTATAATTTCTTCTCTTTTTGCAACAGGATCTTCACCTAAACAAGAATCTTCCAAAAGGAAAGGAAACTTTGGCTAAACTTCTACACTTTTTACCCTTAAAAATTTCTTCCCTATTGAACTAAACCACTTCTGATACTTTAGACACGTTTCTGAACTGTTCCGGCGGCGTTTTTTAATCATATAACACAGCCTCCAAAATAGGACATTTTTCGAGTTACGAAGATATTTTTATACATGGAAAGCTAAGGTATGTCTTTAAGATAAAACAGACTTCCGATTTCACCAGACTTTGAGTTGTCAAGATTTCACTGGACATTGTTTAGTCTTTGCAGTTTGATCAGGGGCGGTTTTTTACTTGGGCATCTGCAGTAACTCTCTTCAAAGTGCCGCCAGAAGTTGTTTTGTGGTAAATCCAGGGTTACCAATTAGGCGGGGCCAAA